AGAAACATGATTTTAACATAGCCAATCCGCCAATACTTGGTGAAATCGTATCAACAACGGGTGCTCAATCGCAGTGTTATCGGCATTTACAGATAAGTCTACAGTCTCTTCATCGTCCATTACGTACGTTTACCGTAGATACTGCGTAGAACAGGAAAATATAAACAAAATCTGGCCGATTGAGAACGATAACATCGTAGGTGACGAATCGGCACTAGTAGGGGTAGTCTTGGTAGGTCGTAGACCAGTGAAATGGGGATATAACTGTTTTGACCGACTGGCTAGCGCACAGGACGCACGCCTGGGCTCTTGCCTACCTACAGCTACAACCCAGGGAAAGAGTGGCTTTACGGATCAGCAGTCAAGCCAGCCTGTGAGGACTAACAGTGACGGGGGTGTGGTGTTTGATACTGACAATCCACCTATCATTCCTCTGATCCCGGGTATCTTGGACTCTGATGCACCTTCAAGCTACCCTTTCTCTCAACTGGACTTCGTTATGAAGGAAGGGTTACTCACGGTTCAACCTATGGACACGTCTACGGAGGATTTTACGCCTGGATGGTCCTTCAGGGAAAAGTTGGAGTTATTACACACATTACCTCATGTAACTCGTCATCCCACGGGACACAGATTTTTGTCTGCTGGGACAACATCTAGCGGGGGCAACTCTGGCCATAGATCAACTTCTGGAGAAGGGAGCGATAGTGGAACTACCTCCATCAGACCTATCATGCGGATTCTATATGCCAGTATTCCTAGTTCCCAAGAAGGACATGGACGAAATGAGAATGATAATCGACCTAAAAATCTTAAGCAAAAATTATCTAACAAAACCTCCCAAATTCAAGATGGACTCTCTTGCCAATCTTCGATCTCTCATTCGCCACAATTCCAGGTTCATCAGCATAGATCTCAAGGATGCTTACCTACATGTTCCTATCCATCCTCGCTCACAAAAGTACCTTCGTTTCAGGGTGAACGGCCGTCGATTCCATTTCCGTGTGCTTTCCTTGGGGATCTTCCTGGCTCAATGGTTGTTTACTGTAATCATCAAGCCGATCCTAGCTTTTCTACACCGTAGGAGGATAGCGATCCGGATCGGTGGGTGTCCATTCAGTCCAAGATCTTCGATTTACTGCAATCTCCAGCAATCTATTATTATTGCAATAACATTTTGCACCTTTTTATAGGGATTTATAAAGTAAAGAGGCAGATGGAAACAGATTAAAAAAATGGCCATACCTGAGAAGGGAAAAGATGTTTCCAGCTCAGCAACAGCAAGTGGAGTGAGGTGGAAAACAGGTAGCCAAAGGAAGTAAGGTCAGATGACACAATAGCAAATTAGGAAGTAGGTAACACATCAAAGGAAGTCTTTGATGTGACCTATTAATAGAAAAGGGAAAATCCCAAAGAATGGGTTATCTGGCTAAGAACAGAGAAGAAGTGAAGGGAAATCCTTGTTGACAAGGCTCCAGGAAACAGGTGAGGTGAGGTGAAATTGGGTTTAACGTCGTGCTTGAGAATATTTCGCTCGTATGACGACGTCCAGGAAACAGAAGGAAGGGGTGAAGATGTATAGAGGCGGCATTCAACGGTAAGACTCGGACAACATGGAACAAATTAACATTTAACATATGATATTTATGAAACATGATGAAATGAATTGTAATGAGATTTAGTTTTCAGGCAATATTAAGAAACGCTCTGCTACACACGCATGGTCATATAAGAAATATTCTTAAGTACGGCGTTAAACCCATTCCACCTCACCTCCAAATGGGCCAGGATCTGTACAGGAGGATTCCTTTGTTGCACACGACGATCATTCATGGCCCAGATGTGCTCCAAAGGGTTAAGATAGCGTCTCATTCAATCGTGGGTGTTTTTGTGTATATTATTCCAAGGCAGAAATGCAGAGGGCTCATCACACAATCCAGAAACATGGACAAAAGGACGACTTGGTTTGGTGAACCATTTGTTCCGAGACTGAGTCTACAGTATGAAGGCCATGGGCTATGTTTCATGAATCCCGTGATCTCGTATCACTTCTCACGATACATGTAATTCTAGCCATGTAGTCTTCGAAACTGCCAAGTCCCTGGTCGAGATTCTGCTCTCCCTAGCTCCTTAATCAGGAGGCTTACATGATCTGCCACGGTCCATACATGATTGGTAGCCAGTCTAATGCTATTAATAAACACCACATCAGAAGTGAATATGCATTTTGTCAAACCGTGACCTCATCTTAAGCCTGCCATGATGTTTAACAAAATTAAGTCAACTTTTATTTGAATGAGATTTTACATATGGATCTTTAACTGTTTAAAACTGCACATGGTGCCACATCTTTTAATATCTTAAGTAAGTATGGCGTTACGCTGAACGATTGCTCGAAGAAACCTACCTTTTTCTCTGTAGATATTTTGTGTACGTGTATCCTACGAGTGATATAATACTAAAATATGTCTGTCTAACATATTGTGAGGCGCGCGTGGTGAGCGAGCTGTCTAAGGCGCCAGGCTAGAGACATAAGCGAGTTTAAGGTGCCGAGATCGAGCCCATTTAATTGTGACCGGGTGTGAAAAACCTTGGAGTCAAATTTGTGTGCAAACTCTTTCAGCGTTTTTTTTTCCATTTTTATTGCAGTACACCAGGGTTACATGTTCGTACAGCAGTATATAAACCAATATGTTGTATATGATTACGTGTTCGTACAGTAGCATACAAGTTCGTACAGTTCCTACAGGGTAATTATACTGATGGACAGAGTGTAGTGTTTATTTTGATAAAGAACATGTTCATACAGTAGAATATAAAGCAAACACTGTATATGGTTACCTGTTTGCACAAGTTCATACCGGTAGTTATACCAATGGGCAGAGTGTCATGTTTGCTTTAATAGAGAACATGTTCATACAGTAGAATATAAAGCAAACACTGTATATGGTTACCTGTTTGCACAAGTTCATACCGGTAGTTATACTAATGGGCAGAGTGTCATGTTTGCTTTAATAGAGAACATGTTCATACAGTAGTATATAAAGCAAACACTGTATATGGTTACCTGTTTGCACAAGTTCATACGGTTCATACCGGTAGTTATACTAATGGGCAGAGTGTCATGTTTGCTTTAATAGAGAACGTGTTCATACAATGGCACATAAGTTCATACAATTCATACAAGGCAGCTATGCACTTAATACAATGTAGCTGTATTGATGGACAGGGTGTAATGTTTGCTTTAATAAAAAGCAAACTGACATAGGTTGATAGCAAGTTATAGTTCCAGTATTATTACAATTGTGCATATACGTATTCCTGTTAAAGTGCGAGGGAGAAAGCATTCACGAGCAATACAAATTCAGGTGTCAGGTAGTGAAATATCAATTTCTAGGAGAATTGATACCGTTGTGCCATTACAAGGTACATTCATGATACTGTATAGATACAAAGAGAAGGATTAGTCACATTGCAAAACATATCACACATGACAAGTAATGGTAATAGATAATCAATAGTTTCAAAAGTTAATTATTAATGGTTAACTGATGAATTTATAGTATTTCTCAAGTGCAAGAGAAGAAGGTCAGATTGTAGCAAAAATCTCATAAGACAATCAGAGGCAGTTGGTGTACCAATGTTTATCAAAAGATCATGCAATAATACTATTACCCAGTACATGGTACAGAAATCACGTTATGGTAAATGTCACGTACGTAGTATTACTAATAATAATGATATTAGTGCAGAAAGTAATTTGAGTATGTATCATTAGTTCAGTTAATGGAAGGTGGTATATCCATACTTATCAAAGGTTGCCATTTCTTACTGAAAGTGTTAGCTTTCAGATTCATGTTTGCAATGTATTTTTCAATTTTCATTATGTCCTTAACTATATTTACAAACGAGTCAAAGCAAAGCTTTTTTGAATTTTGAATTTTTTGGCAATCAGAAGCAAGTGATTTTGTAATAAAAAGCATCTGGGTAGACCAAAAAAGACAACTTCTTTTGGTAGCTTTTTATAAAAAAAAGTTTGGGTTTTTGTTCTGATGGTTAAGCCATAAAGGTTCATTAAGGATATTCTGGATATCGTACGGAGTGCTATGATTTTTTGAGTGCAACTCTTTCAGTGTTGTCACAGCCCCTAGTGTACAGTACACAACCCTATGCACTTAAAAGAATCAACGAATCAGTTGGTAGATGACCAGATAATGGCCATATGAATACGTGCAAACACCTATACAATTGCGGGTACAGCAACGTGCAGTAAAAAATGGACAAGGTACTGTTCCTATGTGTCCCAGTCCACCCAGCTGTGAATAGGTACCAGCTCGTAAGGAAGGGAAATCCACATATTAACTTGGTGCGCTAGGTGGTTGCACGAATTGGGGTGGACTATAGCGCTGTAATATCCATATAAGAATAATATCAAACAAAACATGCACGTGATATCAATGAACTGGCTCTTCCACTTGGACACTCGGCATGCAGTCATGCATGGTTATCAGTTTATGATATTGTTGAAAATACATATTGATTCAAACTCAATTCCTTGGGTAAAACTTTTTGTGAACGCTGAAGGAGTATCTGTCCAGATGTGCACGTTTCGTTTTATTAGGCTGCTTGTCATTTAAACCATTACGATGGCCCGGTCCGAATTTTCTATGCTCAGGTTTTAGACGAAGTGGGAACACGGTACCACGGTTGACAAAACAGAACTTTAGTTGAAAAGCCGTCCATGACAACTAAGCACAATGCCCGAACCAGAAGACACACAACAGCCCTTGTAATTGTATGGCTACGTTTTTCTGTGTAATGAATGTAAAACCACAGTAAAACTTCGAAGCAACGTGCAGACGATCGGCCGTCCGACAAAATTATGACTAGGCTCCTGTCTATTCAATATCTGAAGCCTTGATACGCGTACCAGTAGTAGAACCGGTTGGTCTCCAGTCTTCCGCCAATCAATGGGAAACACAGTGTTATGACGTTTTATACATAAGGTGTGATGACGTTTACCACAGTACACATGTACATGCAGAATGAATTTATGTCAACTGTGAAAGATATTGCTTTACTCGATAAATCTTTATTTTCATTAGACATGGCGTAGATCTTGACTGATACATTCAAATTGCCCATCTGACGCCAGCTGTCAAGTTATTTTTGAAAGTGCTCCTGCAGTCCGTGGTGTCAGAAATGAAGCGGTACATGGTAGTTTGGGGGTCGGTGTTCTTCTTGGTGATGTTTTGTTCGCTGTATCTCATGTTGGAGACCGTCACAATGTCCAGTAAACCCCTCGAACTAGACGCGGTAAGTACTTGCATACATCACACAATGTCTGACATAGCACACAGGTTAGGTTGAATGCCAAGTTAATGATACCCATCGGTATAAACTTTCTCCTTTGTACATGTAATTGTAAAGTTTGTTTTGTTTTACAACAGAGCATTCAAGTCTTCGTTTAGAGCAGTTATTTCACATTTCTTTTACATAACCGTAACCTAAATTCGTGGATCGCGAAAATTATCATGCTAGCTAGTAAATTAAGTCTCGACTGTTGTCGATGTACATACAATGCCACGCCTCACTGACAAAAAAGTTCCGAATCTCTGCATTACGCGCAAGTACACTAAATATAATTGTCCAACACTGAGATAAATAGCCCCAGATTGCTAATACTACCATTACCAAATTTGGCTAGAATGCACTTTACCTGGCGCAGCCCTCGCTGCTCCCTTTAAGATTCTTAGGGTAAGGGTATGCCACCCTTTACGATCCTTAGGTTTAGGGTAAGGGTATGCCACCCTTTATGATCCTTGGGGTTAGGGTTAGGCACCCTTTACGATCCTTAGGGTTAGGATTAGGGTTAGGGAACCCCAGCAGCGCTACTTAATCTGAAAAAGTGCGCCCAGTAAAGTGCAGTACTCCCCCAAATGTTACTTTTACAAAATGTAGAAAAGATACCATTAGCTCCAACCATCTCACTTTTCGTTCTCTGCTTCCCTTGGTGTCAATACTTACTGCAGTGGGATGTCGTACATAGTGGTATAAAGTAACTGACTATGTAATCCACGAAACAAGGTGACACGAATGGGCACACGAATGGGTGATGATTGCAAATGGCTTCCGTAAACAAACGTGGAATATTAGGCCAAAAAAAATAAATGTTGTGGTTCCGATTTCCTACATTTCAGAACTAGGGTAGGTAGGTAGGGTTTTTGGTTTTTTTTGCAAAATATTTTTACACTACACATGTGTCTGAAAATAAATTTAATTTATTATGTGGTAGGTAAAATTGTTAGGCTCGGCGGGAATATTTAGGGTCGGTCGAGAAATCGGAACCACAAGCTTTTTTTTTAGGCCTTAGGCATTGTCAATTTGCTGAATCAATGAATAAAATATTCAGTGCGTATACAAAATGAAATCATGCATTTAAAATATGAATTTCGCCGCACTTCCCGTATATCCATGAATCAAGGTTACACAAGTGTAATTGAATTTTTAAGTTATGACATGGGTGAGGTTGCAGGTGTAAATTCCTCCCTCGGTCACTTCTAAGCAGGAGTTTTCCTACATTTATCACCCCAAACTGTGTTCCACTGGTAAAATTGCTTGTGTGAGATCAAACGATATCTCACAGGAGATATCATTTTGACAGTAGATTTTGTATAATGCCCTAACAATGCTACATAGTTGACGTCATGAACTTGATGACGTCACAATTCTATGACATCGCTGCACTGCAAGTCTAATGGCAGTACTGTGTTCAGAGATGTAAATTTTTCATTGAAAACTAATGAAGAGTGATTTTTTATGATAAGGCCTAAAGTTGAATTGTGGTTCTGATTACCCGACCGACCCTTGAATTCTGGTGCCGACCCTAAATTTTTTAAGCGGTAGAAATGAAGTAAGCTTTTAGATACCACTGATTTTTCCCGGCACCTGATAAAGAAAGTCGACATGATAGCTGAAGCCTTGATTGAATAAACAGTTATACATTGATAAATGTGTTATTCATTTGTACTTTATTTCTATTCTAATAAAAAATGTTCCAAAAAAAATCCTACCTACCTACCCTAAATCTTAAAGAGGTGTAATCGGAACCACAACATTTTTTTTATTTGGCCTAAATAGAATCTCACCCTCGTGTCTACTGATATCAATTATATCAGCACTCATTGATAAAAGTAAAAATATCCTCGGCAAGCTTTGGATATTTGTAACTTTGTCAACTGGTGTTGATATAATTGATGACAGTAGACACTTGGGTGAGATTCTCTACATGTCTCGGGTCATAGCAGAGACAGATACAGCCACCTGTGTGTTGGTAGGGCGCCAGTGAAAATCTGGTGGAGCTGGTTGTTTTAAAATGCTAGGTCATTCAGAAGAAACTACTTGTCCACACTGAGCTGCAAACTGGTTGGATATAAACATTGGAGTGATAATGTCTGTCCCTGCTTAATGCTGAAGTGTAAAATGCATTTCTCTATGTTCTGTCTTACCAACCATTCAGCATGGTGGTCTGTGTAAACAATAGCTGTGATATCATTCAACGTAAAATCTGATTCAACGAAAACTTAATCTCATTGCTGACATATTGCAAATTATGAAAATTTCCTTCTCTTTATCCCTTATGTTTGCTTAGTTTAGTCTTGTATGTACAAAACATAGGTGTTTCCAACATTGGCTTTGATTATGTGTTTTGTGAGCTGAAAAAATTAAGGCTTTATGTGATCAGCTGATGAAGGGCTGTATGTTATGTGAAATAATTTTAAGGTGACCATGGTGATATTGGAAAAATACTCTGTTATCTTAGTAGTAGCAGGTTTGCTGGTTGTCAATCTGCCACCTGTTCACCAAGAAACTTGAGTAAAATGTTTTTTCATATTCCCTGGAAACAGATGGGCAGAATGTGCATTTATGACACTGCATTGTTTATGCTTTAACTCAGTCTATATTCATTTGGCTGAGCCTTTGATGAACTTTCTGAATCAGATTTGATGTGCAATGGACAGACTAGAGATGTATATGAGTAACAACATCAAATGAGAGTTGTTCGAGGTATCCCATGTCATGGAGATCTACTGTTGTACCATCCAAACAGGACAATACCACACAAGTTGTCTGAGGTACTTCATCTCATGGAGGTCTACCATTATCCCAACCAAATACCACACAAGTTGTCTGAGGTACTTCATCTCATGGAGGTCTACCATTATCCCAACCAAATACTACACAAGTTGTCTGAGGTACTTCATCTCATGGAGGTCTACCATTATCTCAACCAAATACCACACAAGTTGTCTGAGGTACTTCATCTCGTGGAGGTCTACCATTATCTCAACCAAATACCACACAAGTTGTCTGAGGTACTTCATCTCATGGAGGTCTACCATTATCCCAACCAAATACTACACAAGTTGTCTGAGGTACTTCATCTCATGGAGGTCTACCATTATCTCAACCAAATACCACACAAGTTGTCTGAGGTACTTCATCTCGTGGAGGTCTACCATTATCTCAACCAAATACCACACAAGTTGTCTGAGGTACTTCATCTTGTGGAGGTCTACCATTATCTCAACCAAATACCACACAAGTTGTCTGAGGTACTTCATCTCATGGAGGTCTACCATTATCTCAACCAAATACCACACAAGTTGTCTGAGGTACTTCATCTCATGGAGGTCTACCATTATCTCAACCAAATACCACACAAGTTGTCTGAGGTACTTCATCTCGTGGAGGTCTACCATTATCTCAACCAAATACCACACGAGTTGTCCGAGGTACTTCATCTTGTGGAGGTCTACCATTATCCCAACCAAATAGCACACGAAGTTGTCTGAGGTACTTCATCTTGTGGAGGTCTACCATTATCCCAACCAAATACCACACGAGTTGTCCGAGGTGCTTCATCTCGTGGAGGACTACCATTATCCCAACCAAATACCACACGAGTTGTCTGAGGTACTTCATCTCGTGGAGGTCTACCATTATCCCAACCAAATACCACACGAGTTGTCTGAGATACTTCATCTCGTGGAGGTCTACCATTATCCCAACCAAATACCACACGAGTTGTCCGAGGTACTTCATCTCGTGGAGGTCTACCATTATGCCAACTTTGAAACCAAAAAGGACAATGCTGCCCAGTTTCAAGTAACAGTTTTGTTCAGAAATGATGGTGATTTATAGATTTGTCAATCTCTTGACATTCTGGACGGTTCCATGTATGGATACAACCTTCCCATCTAGTATCAGACTTACAGTCGTTTCTCATTTAAAACAACCATTAGAAGTAATTATAGCATAAGAGTGAATCAGCAATGTCAAGGATTTGTTAGAACAAATTTACAGATACTGTGTGAAAATAGTTTCAAGGCCTGATAACTTGTAAGCATACTAATAACTTGTAAGCATACTGATAACTTGTAAGCATACTAATAACTTGTAAGCATACTGATAACTTGTAAGCATACTAATAACTTGTAAACATACTGATAACTTGTGAACATACTGATAACTTGAAAACATACTGATGACATGTAAACATACTGATAACTTGTAAACATACTGATAACTTGTAAACATACTGATGACATGTAAACATACTGATAACTTGTAAGCATACTGATAAGTTGTGAACATACTGATGACTTGTAAACATACTGATGACATGTAAACATACTGATAAGTTGTGAACATACTGATGACATGTAAACATACTGATAACTTGTAAGCATACTGATGACTTGTAAACATACTGTTGACATGTAAACATACTGATAACTTGTAAGCATACTGATAACTTGTAAGCATACTGATGACTTGTAAACATACTGATAACTTGTAAAAATACTGATAACTTGTAAACATACTGATGACTTGTAAACATACTGATAACTTGTAAACATACTAATAACTTCTAAACATACTGATAACTTGTGAAACAGGATTGTTGTCAATCTCATGAGAAATTCATAGCCATGACTTTGGGAATGTTGCTGAATTTTGTTAATAATTAACACACACTCTGAGAAGTAGTTTAAAGTTTGTTGTAGGCATCAATACTGACATTCAGCTTTAAATGTTGGAGGCAATGTTACAAAACCAAGATTTGCTGTGTTTACTTGGATGCTGCTGCACAGCTGCACGTGGATCATGTGTCTGGGAGGAGACAACACAGGTACATTAGGTATTGCACGCTTGAAACAGCTGAGCTGTATACCTGGTGGAAACGTGTGTGATAGGCAGTATAGACAGTGACTTCATCAGACTAAACGTGTACATTCAGTTCAGTTTTCCCT